TCGAGCCAGGGTAACTGAAGCTTGCAAGCGAGGCGAAGGTTGAGAAGTAGATTGTCAGAGCGATCAGGTAGAGGTAGAAGATGATACCGGCGCGAGGGCCTCGAACACTTGAAATGGCAACAAAGCCGATCAAGCCACCGGCCACAGTGAAAGCAATACCAGCAATCAGCCGAATGAGGACGAACATGTTCGCTGCTGCAAAGGCCATCGAAATGAGGTAGTAAGGGCCACCACATGCAATCCAGGTACCAATTGCACCGGAAAACAGCAGAGAGATCATCAGCGCCATAGTTGCACTGTCCTGTTCATCGTGGGACATGGCGGCAGAAAGATAGAGTCCGCGGCCAACCATGGTAAGCAAGATAATATCAATCAAAGCCGGAATGGCGAAGACACTCAAAAATGTGAATCGCTGGTATCCAGGCATAGTCTTAGGTTGCTCATCGGGATTGACATCAATCTGAGCTCCGGCGTAGGATGTAGCGAGCTCTGGAGCACCATTAACCCAGTTCGGGGGCTGATGTTCTCCATAGTAAGCTCTGAACCGGTCGGATAACAACTTTCCGAAAACACTGGGAGCTACGTCAAAATAAGCTTCACATCGCGATCCAAGGGCAAATGACTCTGCGAAGGCGGCAGCCTGATCGGTATGGTTGTTAAATAGAGGATTCCGATCAGTCACTTCTGCGTAAATCTCATCGAAGGCTCCCTGTCTTGCGGCACAGAAGAGCGCAAGAGCCATCATATCCACATAGGTGTCAACGAAGCCACCTTGGAGAAGCGCGCATAGACCACTAGTAATGGCGGCAAGGTCATCCTCGCGGCGACACCTCAGAACATCAGAGAGTACACTGTCGGCTTGATGGAAAAGATCAAGGCAAACGTCAAGAGAGGGGTATCTGCAACCTTGATCCATGTACCAATTGATACGAGACCTGATTAGATCCTCGGGAGAGGTAGATTTCTCGAGATACCCAACTGTGTTCAGCGCTTTCAATTGAGCAAACGAAGGGGCATCCACTAGTTGCTTGCGAATGTAGGTGCAGATCACTTCAGATAGCTCGCTATGAGAATCGGTCAGAGAGAGGTGCTGCAAGAGAAGGAGGCGCTCTTCAGGGCTGAGAACATCGATATCTTGAATCAGACGACGGGGGAGGCCGGTATCATGGGAAACATCCCGAGACCAGGTCGCGAAGGTCGCCTCGGCCTCAAAGCAAACATGCCGTGGAAATCCCTTCGCCGAGAGAAAGGTGTGAAGAATAGTTCCAGCCAGGCCTTGCGCATTCTTGGATACATAAATCTCAATACCATCATGCTCCATATCAAAAACCGCCCAAAAGCGGAAATCAGAGCTTTTGCGCAGACCGGAGTCGAGACAAAGATTCACATGCAACAAATCGTTGGATGCCCAGTTTGAAAGTTCCTTGACTGTGCTGGCCAAATTATCATCATCTTCGGAGAGATCCAGAGAGTCATAGAATTGACCTAGAAGGAGTCCAATGCTTTGGATTTTTGTTGTCGGGACGGGATGAAGAAGGTTGAGAGACTTGAGCCGTTGTTGAGATTGGACAATTTCTGCAAAGGCCAGTGGAGTCGAATCTGAACCGAGAGGGAAGCAACCAAGTGAATTGTAGGCCATCCCTGACATGGAGATAGAGAGAGGACTGCCCTGCGACTTGACTTGTGCGACCCATTCTGGAGGATCACGTAGTCGAATGGTCGGGCTATCGGGAGCCTTTGCGTCATATTCCGACGAGTCCAGTAGCGCATCAATAGCAGGGAAAATTGGCTTGAGAATGTCCCAGCCAGCCTTGCTATCCGGGGAAGGCAATATGTTCAGGTTGGCACGCCAGGTATCATGGGCCTTCATCATTTCTGCTTCCTTCAGCCAACCAAACGCAGGAAGAGGTTCGAGAGTCGTGACGTTAAGATCTGCATCGTGAAGAGCAGCTTCGGGACCGATCCAGGTAATCGCGCTATAAAAGCCGCACCATTGGATAGATCTGCGGACTATGGCATTGGGAACGGTGACATTGTCATCAACGGTTTCCCAGGCCATTACTACAAAGTCTCTCATGCAAGACTCAGAAACAAACGCCTTGATTGTTGCTTGTAGTTCGGCCATTTGGAAGTAATCCCGCTTTTCGCCTTGAGGCATGATGCTGGCATTTCGAATGACCAAACCCGCCACGGCAGCACTCTGCACAGCCTTTCGATCCTTCAAGAAATGCGGTGGCTCCGACTCGAGATACACTGCCAGGCCGAGGCTGCTGATGGTCTCGAGAAACTTTCTTCGAGCCGTAGGACGGAGCACATCTTCCCAATTGGCGAGGAGAATACCAGAAAATGCGGTATTATGGAATCCACTTGCGAGCAATTCCTCGATCTTTTCGATGACGGTCAAAGCTGATGCCTTTGGAGGAAGGACTTTCCCCAAATCCACACGTCCTAGGACTTGGCTGCGCTCGTGTCTGGAAATAGCTTTGGATACACCTGTCTGGAAGGGATCCACAACCAAGACATCCCATTCTTGCAAGAGTCTTTCTTGCGAGACAGTAGGTGGGTTTTCAAAGCTTCCCAAGTATACTCCGAAGCTCGCGGGCTTTCCTTTGTGCGGACGTCTGCTGATCAAGTTGAGTTCTCGGTTGGCCAGGGTAGTGAGACGCTTGGATACATTCAATGGCACATTGTCCGGTAGTGGCCTTGACTAAATATAGGCTAGAATTAGCATCCGAACCAGAGGGAAACAGCTCATGGGTGGAGGCTATATCGTACCTTATAGTATTTGATAAGTCTTTTTACTCCGGAATATACAATTGACACAGAGCCAATGGTGACTGTGAGTAGCAAGACTCCAATGAATACCTAGGGGAAATAGTCAGCATATTTTCGTGCTGTGTCTGTAACAAGAGCGCCGAACGTCAAGTTGCAAAGAGGACCAGAATCAACATACAAATTGCCACCAATGCTCTTTCATGGCATCCCAGCCAAGAGCATGTGGCCTGACTGGGAGTGAATCTACTGCCATTATGTCAAGACGTTGAGTCCTCGACTTAATATCTCTCTGGACGCAATATAAGAGGCACAAGGTTAGATAACCTGTTGCCAAGTAGAGATGAGATTCCCCAATGCAAATGCTTATAGTGACATGCTGAAACGAGTGACTGCTGTGGTATGCAAGAGCCAAAGATGTTGAGGTGGAACAAAAAAAAAGCACAGGGGAGCTTAAGTGTTGACAAGATGATAAGGTAAAAGAGTAGTGGGGGAAGGACTAAAGTGAATATCCACTCCTCCAAGCCGCATAAGTAAAGTAGACAATTTTGCCTCCTAGGATTTTCCTTGCTCGGTTGTCAGAGGGGTAAAAGAGAAAAAAAAGAAAAAAAAAGAAAAAAAAGAAAGAATTGTATACACGGAGGACGGAGTAGCTTCGCCTCTTTTGGACTGTTTAGGACAAAGGGTAGGTGTCTAGGCGTCTAACGAAGAGATCTCAGAAACATGGGGCAAAAATAGCAACACACTAAGTTTTTGTTAGATGCAAGACTAAGGGAAGCCCACTAACAAATGCACGGCTGACCGATGAGACAGACCCGGTGGAGCCAGGCATAGGTACATATTCTATAGCAGATATGCTGCCATGTGTAGCAAAGCCATGCGGTTTATATCGTGGCAACTATTACCCCTATGGACCCTGTGTGTTTCCCTGAATCTGTTCTCATTGAACACATCATATCAACATTGAACACATTGTGTTTTTTCACCCCTGTCTCAAGATGTATCTCTATCAGATTTCGCCTGCTTAGCTTGTAAGCTAAAGATGCAGTTAGGCACGGGCTAGAAGCATCATATCATTCTGCGGACAAAACTCGAGGTCTTGGCAAGAAAATAATAATAATTAAAATAATTAAATTCAGAGAAAATCTAGGAAATATAGAAAATAAAGAAATATAGGAAAATACAGAAAATAAAGCGGGAAAAAATAACTGCCAACTATGACCTGATGAAACCAACAAGGAAGAGTGGAGCCGGGACAATGAAGAACCCCATCAAAAAAAGACGACATTGTACGTATAAACCGGTAAGTGAAAATTACCATGTATTTGTTGTAAAGTGAGTAAATACATACATGGTACAGAGAACCATGTAATCATACATACCCCGTACTTGGTATTTGGACTAAGACATGGACAAGGTTTGTTTCCCCACACCAACTTTGGGATCTGAGTCCTTTCCCCTGGCGAATGTTCCAAGGTTGGAACTGTACCTGATCCCGTTAGAGGGCCTGTACTCGGTACTGGGGATGGTGTCGGAGCTTTTAGCCCTTTCAACGTACGTAGTCCATTCAATTGCCTAGCCTTACCTCTGTTTTCCCTTTTATTTTATTATTTTTAACCCAAAAGCAAAAAAATAATATAAAAATAAAAATAAAAAGTGATTTCTCACTTGGCCCTGCCAAGACCAATTGTTGATTGACCAATCGCATACTTAGCATGAGTTGCCAACGCAGTATATTGTAAAATGTGTGTCTCCTATATCCTCCCCATTTCAAAATCGCCGGATCTCAGACCCCCACAGAAATCAGAACTCGCTTTAAGCTCCCAAAATCATCAACGCCACATGGAGACCCGTATAGAGTATTTCTTTTTTAAACTGAGATTACCTCCGAAATTAACTAGACACAAAAGGCGATAGGCCTAGAGTTGAAACCTTTGGCTTACTCCACAAAGGTTTGATGTAGTATAAAGATGACGATCAGGCACATATGGGTGGACAGACACAAGCTAATTCCATTCGTTCATTATACTCCGTATTTTATTTCATTTTCCTAGCTGTCGTTAGTACTGCAGACCTGCATACTGTGTGACCTTCCATATTGAGAACCTGGTCAATATCATGGTTGCCGTGCCAGTCTGGGCCTTGAAGGTCGGCTGCTACTACGCATTTATAACATGCGACACTCCCCCCGGAGTTTGGCCTGAGAACACGCCGACCATCATCGCATATTATCCTCCGGTCTCGACTCCTTCTAGTACTCCTGGCAGTTCTGTTGGAGTGAGCTCAACTACGCTCGCTACTTCTACACACTCGTTCACTTCTGTTTCTGTCTCTTCGTCTCTGCCTACCCCTATCGATAGTTCGTCTAGCGCAGTTGCACCGATCACCACTCCTGCAGCATCCACCTTCGTTACTTTCACCTCGTCGGGCGCAATCCCGTCCGAGTCTGCTTCGGGATCAGTGATCGTCACTGTCTCAACTGGTTCTTCCAGCGTCCCTACCCAGAGTGGGTCGTCGTCTGTCTCATCGGGCTCCGCTTCTAGCTCTGCTGTTTCGCCTTCCGGAAGTTCTGCCGCCAGCTCATCCGCCTCGTCCGCAGTTTCCAGCAGCCAGGCTTCTTCATCGCCTGCCTCAAGTGCCGCTTCTTCCTCAGTCGTTTCATCTTCAGTCGTTTCGTCTTCAGTCGTTTCGTCTTCGGTCGTTTCGTCTTCGGTCGTTTCGTCTTCGGTCGTTTCGTCTTCGGTCGTTTCGTCTTCAGTCGTTTCGTCTTCGGTCGTTTCGTCTTCAGTCGTTTCGTCTTCGGTCGTTTCGTCTTCGGTCGTTTCGTCTTCGGTCGTTTCGTCTTCGGTCGTTTCGTCTTCAGTCGTTTCATCTTCAGTCGTTTCGTCTTCAGTCGTTTCGTCTTCGGTCGTTTCGTCTTCGGTCGTTTCGTCTTCGGTCGTTTCGTCTTCGGTCGTTTCGTCTTCAGTCGTTTCGTCTTCAGTCGTTTCGTCTTCAGTCGTTTCGTCTTCGGTCGTTTCGTCTTCGGTCGTTTCGTCTTCGGTCGTTTCGTCTTCGGTCGTTTCGTCTTCAGTCGTTTCGTCTTCAGTCGTTTCGTCTTCAGTCGTTTCGTCTTCGGTCGTTTCGTCTTCGGTCGTTTCGTCTTCGGTCGTTTCGTCTTCGGTCGTTTCGTCTTCAGCCGTTTCTAGCAGCCAGGCTTCTTCTTCGTCGCCGGCCTCAAGTGCCGCTTCTTCGTCAGTCGTTTCGTCTTCGGCTGTTTCATCTGCATCTGCTTCCACAAGTGCTTCTGTGACTACTCCTAAGATGTCGTCCACCGCCATCTCCATCTCGGCTTCTGCTTCTGCAACCCCACTCAACCACGCGGCTGTTGCCGCCAACATCCTGGTCATTGCCAGAGATGCTGCCTCTGCAGGTGTGGCTAGCTCCGGCCTCAATGGGTACGGTATTCCCTTCACCACTCTGATTGTTCCCTCCGCTGGTGTCACTCTTCCCGACCTTAATGGCACCGCCGGAGGAAACTTCGGAGGTATTGTTGTTGCCTCTGAAGTCAGCTATGAGTATGGTGGTGACCTGGGCTTCCAGAGTGCCCTGACCACCGATCAGTGGACCCAGCTATATGCTTACCAGCTTGAGTATGGTGTCCGTATGGTCCAATACGATGTCTACCCAGGTCCCAAATTTGGTGCATCCGCTATCGGCGGATGCTGTGACAGCGGAGTTGAGCAACTTGTCTCATTCACTGATATCAGTGATTTCCCCACATCTGGCTTGAAGACCGGTGCAGGTGTCAGCACCAGTGGTCTGTGGCACTACCCCGCGACTATCAGCAACACCACCTCTACCAAGCAAATTGCCTCGTTTGCCCCCACCACAGGCTTCACCACTGAGAGTGTCGCTGGTGTGATTAACGACTTCGATGGTCGTCAGCAGATGGCCTTCTTCATCGGTTTCGACACTACTTGGAGTTCTACATCCAGCTACCTGCAGCACGCATGGATCACCTGGATCACCCGCGGTCTGTACGCCGGACACCGCCGCGTCAACCTGAACACTCAGATCGATGACATGTTCCTCGAGACTGAAATTTACTCGCCCGCCGGTAAAAACTTCCGCATTCGCGCCCAGGATTTGAGCAAAATTGCCAGCTGGACCGATGAGATCAACGCCAAGATGCCCGCTGGCAGTTCTTACTTCGTCGAAATTGGCCACAACGGTAATGGAAACATCGAGAACTCTTCTGATACCTCCGATTCCGGCTGGGATGCTTGCGGAGCTGCTATCGAATATGAATCGCCTGCTGACACTCCTCTCGAGTGGATGAAACCTCTCGGAACTGGCACTGACTTGTGGCCTGCTGTCCCCACTACCTACGACTGGACTGCTACTTGCACTGCCATGGATGAGCTCCTAGCCTGGTGGACCACCGAAAGCAACCTCAACAAGTTCGGTCACATTTCCCACACCTTCACCCACGAGGAACAAGACAATGCCACCTACAGCGATGTGTACAAGGAGATCAGCTTCAACCAGGCTTGGCTTGCGGCCGTCGGTATCGACAAGGCCACCAAGTTCACTTCCAACGGTATCATTCCTCCTGCCATCACTGGCCTGCACAACGGCGATGCCCTTCGAGCCTGGTGGGAGAACGGCATCACCAACTGTGTTGGTGACAACACCCGCCCTGCCCTTCTGAACAAGGAGAATAACATGTGGCCTCTCTTCACAACTGTTGCCGCCAACGGTTTCGATGGAATGCAGGTCAACCCTCGATGGGCCTCTCGCATCTACTATAACTGCGACACCCCTGCCTGTACCGTTGCAGAATGGATCGCCACCTCTGCTGGTTCCGGCACCTTCCAGGACCTCCTCGCCATTGAGAAGGGTGAGACCATGCGTCACCTCTTTGGTCTCTTCCACGATGGTTACATGTTCCACCAGGCCAACCTGCGGAACATTGATGTTGACCCGATCACCATCAACGGTGTGTCTGAGAAGTACTCCATTATGCAAGCTTGGGTGGAAACCCAGGTTCAGGAGTTTGTCCGCCTGGCTGAATGGCCCATCATCACACTCACTCACCAGGAGGTAAGATAAACCCTTTCCAACGCATTACAATCTCTCGTTCATATGTTGACCTATCATAGATGTCCGCTTCCTTCCTTGCCCGTTACAACCGTGACAAGTGTGGCTACTCCCTGAGCTACGCCACCAGCAACAAGAAGATCACTGCCGTCACTGTGTCTGCCACCGGCAATACCTGCACTGACCCCATCCCGGTGACCTTCCCTGTTGCCCCTACCAGCACCCAGGGCTTCTCTACCGAGAAGCTCGGTGCTGACCCCCTGACTGTCTGGGTCAAGCTCTCTGGCTCCCCTGTCACTTTCACTCTTTCCACCCCCATTTCCCTTTGAGATTGCAAAGATGATTGACCTGCCTTGATTTGGCAGGTTGATGTACTCTTCGGCTTTGTTGATCACCCATCGCTTTCATATTATCTTGTGGATATCTCTTCTAGATGTCAATAATGGTTTATATATATGTGAAGGAAAAGGAACCCTTGCTTTTTCTGTTGATACGAATTTTGAATGTCCTGTATTTTCTAATGTATGGAAATCTGAAGTATGGTTATTTGATAGCATACAATGTTTCTTTCTGATTGACCTTCTCATTTGATGCTCAGCCTTTACAAAGTATTAAATGGCCTCATGACTATATAAAAAAACATATTCTCGACACCACCCTACGACATATCATCTGGCGGCCTAGCAGATCGGCATTCTGTCAGAAATTTCGCGCTGCAGGTCCAAAGTGACAATGTCCATAGCGTTGTACGAGCCAAGGGACGCCATCATCCGACAGATCCGGCACAAGGCGGCGGACAATCATTTCCACACGTCCTGTACATCGAGTCATGTAACCAGAAGCAGAATAATGGGATTTCTACCGATGATACCAAGCCATCCAAAGCCAATCAATCGTTGCGAAAACAAACACTAGCATGTCGATTCCGTCTACCCCGTACGGACGAGGCTAAAAGCAGAAGAACAGTCTAGACAGCGAGTTTGGGGCTTAACTTGTCTCTCAACATCCTACCATGCGCCATCACCACGCTACTCATCTCGCCCACCCGATGACCGCCATCTGGGTAATGTATCTTGAGCCAAGTAATTCGGTAAATAATGATTATGTCTCGGAAGCCAAAAGCCGATGGATGTAGCGCAAATGCAAGTATTGGCTGCTGTTAATATCTGAAATACAGGTACATATTCCCATGTAGTCTACCTGCAGGGTGCATAGGGTAATCTAATTTAGTCACGAATCTGGGTCCAGACCTACAGCGGGGAAGCATGTATGGGGTATACGATGGAGTTTCATGCAGCTATTGCATCAAACCGCTACTGCACCAAACAGCTCAGTCGAGTCATAAACAAGGAGGCTCAGCGCTAAATTTGAAATCGCCGGCATAGGATGGCACCATTTCGGCGATATCCGCTAGAATAGTTTCCTCGGCATTAAAGCCACCCGGTCTCGAATTCAATGCGCCCTACTCCGTATATTAAATTGTACCTGACAGTCATGTAGAATGTATGTCATGTAAGCCTGCAACTCGGTTTAAGTTTGGATTTTAGAGCTTACTCTGACTGCCACAGCTACTGTCGCTCCTTTTTTTCTCTCTCTTTTCTTTCTTACCATTCCTAGTAGCGGCGGGTACCGACTGCAAATATTACGAAACCACGGAATGAGCTAGAAGAAAAACCCCCTTGGCGTGCATGCTAAGCGAGACACTCTGAATCAAGAGTCAAAGGGGCCTAGTATAAGGTGACTTGTCAAACAGTGAAGCTTGGAAGTACTGAAGCGAGATCTTGGCATGGGCTCGAGCTCTTCAAATTCTCGGGAGAAAAAAAAAACCGAGACTAAGCCGAGACTAATGATTTCGTATAGAGTCAGATTTGTAATTGCCCACTCCTGTGGACCTGTTTCGGTTAGCGGGTGTGGCGTGCAGGAGATTTGCGTCAAGGGAAGAATCAGGCGATTGGGTTATCTAAGACTAGCGCCATCGGGTTTGGCTTTCTCTCTGGTAGTCTATTTTAGCGTCGGGATATTAGCCCTCAGGACTGTGGAGAGAGCGGGTCATCTAGGAACAGAAAGCGTTCAATTCGAAACACAGAAGAGCGAAATGACAGTAATAGTAACAGTACGGAGTACTCCGTCGTAGTGATATTGAAAGGTACATGTGCAAGTATTTCAAATCTAAAATGTCATTATTAAACTGGCTCTGCACATAAGCGTCATCCAAAAAGGATTTTAAGGCATCAGATGATGGGTATCCTTGTCTTTGACCAGGGATAGACAAGCCAGCAGATGATTTTTAATGTGACCGGTCATCAGCATTTCCAATTGATTTAGGCCATTTAGTTAGGGTCTGCAGAATACCGTTGATATTTACAAAAACTGTATTTATTTCTGGTTTCATGGTAATTACAAAATTATAATACAACAATACCATACCCCCGTTTTTGTGATTCGAGATCTTGCCAGCGCATACCCTGACATGTATGTTGTATTATTGAAGTCCTGACTCTTGTCCACTCTGATTTATTTTATAAAAAAAGATATGTTGAAATAGCTCCACTAGCTCTCAATCCAGTGTATGGAGTAGCAAGTATGTTGTACGGAGCACGGAGTACAGTGTAGTGCTTGGCAAACCGACAGAAAAAGAAAAGTTTTTCCTTCTATTTCGGTGGCTTTGTTTCTCAAATTTTTATCTTGGCAATTTGACAAACCCCTGAGTCCCTGTGGCTTGTCATTCTCACTTTCGTTTTCTGGTTACTCCGTACTGGTTCCCCCAAATATTAACCAAATATAGTTCTACTACAACACAGTAGATAACTAATATAACTATCAAGATCGGCCAAGATAATCAAATTAGTAGATCAGCCAGGTTCCACCACCTTATTTTATTTAGCCTCAGCTTTCTAGGCATCCTCATTTCCTATGGAGTACATAATTCCAACACAAATATATGTACCAATTTTTGATCACCTACGGAGTACCCGTTTCAAGTATTTTCAGGGACTGTCATTTTCTGGATCTAAGGCTGAGCTTTGCTTTTTCCAGGGTGACATCCAGGTTTTGCCCTAAATCTCAGCCCCCCGACCTGCGTTCTGGGCCCTTGATTTTGAGCTTAAAGATGCCTATCTCCCTTAGTGCCTGCTGATCAATCCGTCCCTCTTTTTCTTTTCTCTTTCCCTTGGGCTACCCCATACTCTTTCATTAAATACAAATACCCCACCATTTTGGGTTACCACGCTGGGCCACATCACACACAGACATCTAAACTGCCCCATCGTTTCCTCTCTCACTTCAAAATCTACCCTAATGGGTGGACTCTCATCCAAGACGGGCTGGTGGGCTTGGTCGACCAAGAAGAAGGTTCTAATCTTTGGAACAGTCGCTCTTGTCATCGTTGCTCTGGGTGTCGGTCTAGGTGCCGGACTGGGGATTGGCCTCAAAGAGAGTGGAGATGATGACAATGATAACGACAATAATGGCACTGGTTCCGGCGGTTCCGGAACAACAAACACGACAACACCAACAAATACAACCGTGAAATGGCAGCCAGCTGTTGGCACCAAGTGGCAGATTATACTGAAGTCCAACGATGGCGCACCGATTTCCACCTCAGTGGACGCACCAATCTACGACATTGATCTTTTCGACAACAACAAAACCGTCATCTCAGATCTCCAGAAAATGGGCCGCAAAGTGATCTGCTACTTCTCTGCCGGCTCATTCGAGGACTGGCGCGCTGACGCCGGCGACTTCAAGGACGCAGATAAGGGCAAGGATCTCGACGGATGGCCCGGCGAGAAATGGCTGAACGTTACGTCCCCCAACGTGCGCAAAATCATGCAGACGCGTCTCGATATCGCTGTGACCAAGGGGTGCGACGGCGTCGATCCTGACAACATCGATGGGTATGACAACCCGAACGGTCTTGATCTCACTAAGGCTGGGGCTATCGACTACGTGAACTGGCTTGCTTCCCAGTCTCATAGCCGTGGTCTCTCAGTTGGATTGAAGAATGGCGGGGATATCATTGATTCTGTCATTAAGAACATGCAGTGGTGTGTCAATGAGCAGTGTGCTGAGTTCGACGAGTGTGATACCTATGCGTCCTTCATTGAGGCGGACAAGCCTGTCTTCCACATCGAGTACCCCAAGGGCGACTCTACCAACAACAACAATTCTGTGACGACCGCCCAGGCGAAATCTGCTTGTACTGCCAACAGCTCTGGCAACTTTTCAACCGTAATCAAAAACATGGACTTGGATAATTGGGTTGAATACTGCCCTTGATCGGGGTTTTGTGCTTGGAGCGAGCGCATCATCTCTAATCAAGAGTTGACATTGCATGTATAAGTAATAAGACGTGATATTCTCGGTACCATCATGACTTCTTTCCTTTCATAGTATTTAAGCGCTGTTTATTCATTGGTATCAGGTGCAGAGAAGAAGAAGAAGAAGAAGAAGAAGAAGTAAATAGGCGAGTCGCTGCGCAGTGTATGATGCCCAGATATCAAACATCCCCGGAACGCACTCAGCATTGTCGGCATTTGACACTTTGCAAGACCTTCTCCTCCGTGTCTAATTCATCAACACCCTCGTAATCACGCCTTCGGCTCCCATTGCCTTCAATAGACGGCGATGCGACACAGGACCACGGTACAACAACTCGCAAGTCCAAAGAAGCGAAAGCGAAAACGCCAAGGTGAGAACACAGCACGCCCATCACAATAACTAAGCCCAATGCGAGCACAAAATCGCCATTTTCTACCCGAATTAGAGCCGGCGAGCCTTGCAACAGTCGCCGACAGCTTCCTTCCCAGGGTATGCGTTGAACTTGGCTTATGCTCACCCATCTAGCCCGACGAAGCAGCGTACTTCAACCGCACATGTCACGAGCTCACATTGGTACTGGGTGGCACTGGCACTAATTCCAGCCCAAATAATGAGCTCATCACAGAGCAACCACCACCAGCGCCATTGTCGGCGCAAAATACTCTTAATCTTAGCGGCTTTTTATGCATACACTATAGCCCCCATGGCTTTGACTACTGCCGCTAGTGAATGTGCCAATTCCCCGAGTCTTCCGTGTGCCCGGTTTGTTGATGGCGTGACGCAACGGCGAAATTTGGCGAGGCTACTGCACTTCGTGTAAAGGCCTGGCTTTTGTGGCGGATCAGCCATCCGTCAATAGCTATTATTTTTCTTTTTACGTACAAGGTGTTAGGCATTGCTTATGGTTTACTTGGCTAAAGCTTTGAAATACCCGGATACACGTCCAACCGAATACGTAATAGGACTTAATCCTTGTCCATTTCCCCCTGTGTTTTGCTACCATAGTTAT